TGGCCGAGACAGCCTCTTCAAGTGGCCGACAACATTCTGGCCAGCAGAGACGAGATAGCAAATCTGTGCATACTAAAATTGCTTATTATTCCGTGCTTTTCGGGCCTGGTTGGCATTCGAGCCTACTCGCCTCCTCACTTCTCCATCATCCGCGCATACGTCTCGCATGATTTGGCCAAGTCTTCTTCACTGCTCACCTGTCCGTGGCTTGATGGTGGAGGCCGGTGCTGCCAAGGTCCGAAAGTAGACCACACAATTCGGTGCATCGCTCCAAAGAAGGCACTCTAAGTCGTGACGCTTCATCCTACTTGACCTCTCCTCCCGGCCAGGTCTGCTTCACGTATCAAGGTCGTGTGGAGGCAAGTCTTCGCTTAGGGAGAATGGCTGGTATCACGTAGGCCAGAAATATTACGGGTCACTGACAGAAGTGTTCACTAAACTGGTCAGCCATAGCTTATTAGGCTTGGATGATGTCTGGGCTGAATCATCCAACAAAGCTAGTCACTAGTTATTCAAGAAGCCATGATTTTTGAAACCTTCTTAACCCATGACTAAGGCGTTAAGCAAAAAGAGACTTGAAATCACATCCCAGGCGTTGACGGCAAAGCGGCCGAACCGTTGGGGCATGGGCAGTGGATGACTAACGTGCTATAGAAGCAAGACGAGGGCATGTCTGCCTGGGCTTGGTATTGCTGGCCAATCCTAATTACTTAAGAAGGTCAACTGTGATATGCTGGTGCTCTTCTCCTGAAATTGTTACCAGTTGTAGGAGTAGTGGCGGAAGGATCTTTATGAGTTTTGTCGCAAGAGGTGCTTTGAGTGGACTCGCATATCGGGTGGATATTGCTTGTTTTGCCTCTGGTCCACCTTCCAGGCTCGGACGAATCAAGGCTTGAAAGCCGGCTTGTCATTTCGAGGGCATGAAACGTATCGAACAATTCTGGTCAGTTAAAGCCTGCATTTATTCAGATCTAAATTCTGTTTGGCCAGCAGCTTCTTGGGCATAGATAATATCTCAAATGTTTGCTTACAGCAAGAGACTTTGAATGGGAACCGGATACTCCTATCATTGTGAAACAAAAATATATATATATATATATGATCTCGAAAATCTACCTTAAAAAAAAAGAATATAGCTGAAATGTCTGCGAAACGTTTGGAGAAGCCGAACCAAAGAGAGAGAAAATCTCATTTCAAAATGCGGCTGGTCATTCAAGATGCTTGCCCGTGATTGCAAATTGCGGAACCTTGACCACACGAAAAGTATAAATATCAAGATATAAATAGGAGTGAAATCGGCTAACATTGTGCTCCTACTTTTGGGCCTTATTTTGTAAACCCGAATTTTATTTAAATCTATTAGTCTTCTTGGTTTTCGGCATTAGTGCTTCGTTAGCATGGCCTATTTCATAGCCTTCAACTTAGACACATCAGGTTTATTTGACTATCAGACCACACCAATGAGACATTTACAGCTGCAAAATAGTCAGAAAGAAGAGGCGTTTGGAATTTATTTGTCTAACTGACCACACTAAGAGGCTTTAAGAGATTCAAAATCGCAATCTGAGATGTCTGACTTGATTAAAAGGACTGCATCAGTATGTGAATAGCTAAATCTGCTGCCCAGAAAAATTTGCTATAAGAGAAAAGTTAATGAATTCGTAAGCAAAGTAGTGGCTTAGACACAAAATGGCTGTGTTTCTGTGACTCCTAGCTGGATCAAAAATACCTGCTATTCGACCTCGCTTAAATAGTCTTCGTTAGTTGCAACAAAGTTCAGTCTATCCTATCTTTGGTAAGGACTTTGCAACATCGTTTTAGATATCTTGCTTTTGCATTTACCTCTAGGCTCTCTTTTCGGTATTCACCTCAAGATTGACTTAATTTTGTGTTTCTGCATATGGTCTAAATTGATTCTCAATTTATTCTACATATGAATTCCTGAACTCTCAGATTATTTTCCGGAATTTATGAATCATTTCCTAGGCACTACTGTCCATCTCGCAATGAAAAGACTGTTTTCTTAGAGATCTTTATAAAATTATTTCATATTAAAAACCCCTAGAAAGTTATGGATTAGATTGAAGTATAAGGTGACCTTATTGCAGGTTAATGAAAAATATTTCAAAAGTTTACTCTAGCCGTAGAGGCATTCAGGTAATTTTAAAGTCTATTTAGAGTTTTTAATTTATTCAGTCAACACACATTCGTAAATATGCAAATAGTTTTTCAATTAAGCTTAAAAATTTCCCTCCCTCCAAAAATGTATCCACCTAGAGTTCGTGTGTTTTGTACATAATCAGCATATTTTGAACCATATAATAATAGAACTGAGGGAAAAGTATGTGAATTCTCCATCGCTTTTATACTATGTTCTATATGGTCATTTAGTTTTTGGTATTTTTCATCATAAATCTACGTTTTCCAGCTGCTTGATCAGTAGTCACCCCACTCTCACCAATTATTTTAATACTTCACTTCTCATAAATGTGAGCAGAGTTGTCTCAATTGATGACTAATGTGAAAATTGGATACAGTAGCTGATTTATCCTTTTTAAGATGAGTGTTATTGGGGATGGGAGAAAATCAAAAAGCCCTACTGCATATTTCCTTAAATGTATGCCTTTATGCACATACTCAAATTTGTGTTCGAATCTCATTACGACAACATATAGGAGGAGTGCTCTCTTACGTCTGAGAGATTAAGACAAGCTTAATTCATACCAGGTGCAATATTTGCAAACTATCCTGCTCGCGAATCAGCAAAAGTTTTAAAAATACCAGCTGGGGATCTTTTTCACGGGCAAATTATTAGGTTAAAATAATAATTACTAGGCAAAAAAAGACTCACTACAGTCCTTACCAAAGCTTTTGTGGAATAATTACATTAGCTTATTTAGATTGAAATACTCTTAATAAAGTTTCTTTCTATGTTTGAAAATATGCGAATTTGATGAACTAAAGTAAAATCCTATGAGGACCAATTATTGCATATTCGTCAGGATTGGGAAATAAATAAGTTTTTGGAGGTTATTACTTTTTTTCTACTAACTTTTGGCACATTTATTAACAAATGCATATCAAGTGCGGCCACTAATTTGCGCGTAAATTCTCTAAAAATCCAAGCACAAACATTATTCATCAAATTCCTTCCAACTGGCCCATTGCTTAAACAAAGTGCAAAAGCAATAGTAAGCGAATCTCTTGTGCCTACTTCTGTATGCTGACGTAAATATGGAACGATGGGCTGATTATCCTCAATACGAAAATAATGAGGTCTCTTAAAAACGTTGTGATTTTTCCTTCTTCAATCCTGTGGTATTCTCAAGTTTTGCCTCTACTGCATGAATGACGACTTTGGTTGTTATTTTTGCCATCCTTTACTTTATTTGAAACCTCTATTCTCTTAAAAGGCTCATTCTAGAGCTCAAAGTATGACAAAAAAGAATTCTAAACTTTTGCATTCAGATAGCTTTTTAGTATTGTATCTAGTCACTCAGCCCCACTCTTGTCAAACAAAAATTATTACTACATTACTATTTGGACTAGTATTCTAGTAAGTAGTAATACCAAAGAATTAGGCCAATTGCGTTGGGACCTGTACCTCTTAGGTCACTATTTAAATGATATCATGCCACCTATTATGTAATTGCATTAGAAGGATGCCCTTATAAGGGTAACTCTTAAGTTGCTATCATTTAGGTCAGTTACAAGCTTTAATTGGTAACAGAAGTGGGTTGACCTCGTTGTTGCAACCTGATCTTATTGTCAGGGAGACTTAGTAGAACTACCCTAGTCCGATGTCGGCAGAACGGTTGTCGAGGGATTGATTTCACTTGTCTCTTGGACGAATTAGTAGCTTGGTGCAGAGAATGGCAAAACTCACTGACGATGCCGAATACGATGACGGCGAAACGTGTGAGAATGTACCAAGTCCACTGTCTGATGCTGGAAATCATGACAACTACTATGGCAGACGACTTCGAACTAGGTGCGTTCTACTAAGTCTCCCTGACAACAAGATCAAGTTGCGATAACGAGGTCAACCCACTTCTATAAATCGAAAGGAGACTGCGACCATACCAGAGGCCACAACATCTTGGTCTTTATAACTTCAATTTGTAATGTTTAATTAGTGAATATAGTAGCCAAGATTCATTGAACGTTATTTAATCATGACAGATTTTACGCCTTGTAATAATTGCATCATTGTAATCGCAGCTCATCTCATAGCATTACATACACAAACATACACATGCTACTGAACATGGAAATGGCGTAAACTAACTGAATCACTCTATACTTCATAAAAATTTATATGTTCAGAACATATATACAACACACTTATATGACCAAATGAAGAGTAAACTCATATCACGAAATAAAGCAGTGAAATGAGTGGCTAGAATAGACACGTTGACTTGTTTATATTATTATAATATATCTGAATCCACTCTAAGTTTCATTTAGGTTGTATTTTGGTGAAGTGTAAAATATCATCACGCTTATTAACCACGAAAATACAAATATCTTTTTGAATGGCATCAATGAGAGGCTACTTAGCATGGCAATAAGATTGAAAAAACAAAAAATAATCTAAGAAATACAAGAGCTCAAGAGAACTCTTTATAACACGATAGAAAAGGTAGACTGAGGCTTGAAATAGAACGGAATTTCAATTCCAGAGCATTTTAACAATCTTTGATTTTTCACTGAACATAGCTGATTTTAAATTTTGCCTGTGAGTTGACATAACAAATCCCATTTTGATCGGTATAAATCAAGTATCTTAGACAGTTTTGAAGCTTCTTCCCTCGCCTGACGGTTGTTGCTTAACTTTCAATCTTGGGATATCACTAGACCATACTAATATTGACCTTAAGTTGACAAGTTGATCTGTGTTGTCAATTTAGTTGGTAACTAAGAATATATCGTTTTGCTAACCTCTGCCAGCGGTGCACGGTTCACATAATTGCTTTAAAATTTCAGGCAGCAAGATCGGTATTTTTAAGTGGCTCATCAGCCTAAATTTGTTAATTAGATGAAAATAAGTGGGCTTGTTTGAAGTAAACCACTTGGTGGATGCATTTAGCAGGAGAACTAGGAATATAACTGGACAATCTAATTTTTGGGATGATTATAATAAAATGAAATCTGGTAGATTTATCTTCTGGTAGCATCAAAAACCTACTCACTTAGGAAAAAAGATTTATTTTCTGTTTCCGTTCGACTTTATGACATATCTGAGAGGTTGGTCATTTTTAATAACCAACTAATAAATTTTGTCG